TTCCAGGATTGCATCTAAGGAATTTATAGTAATTTGGCCTTTTTAACAGTAAAAGTAACTGTAATGTGGTGAAACATTAGTACTGCAATCAGTAGATTAATGGTTAAATCATCACATTTAAACTGGTTGAATTATAGGAAATCTGAGTGATATTTTGCAACCATAACTTTATGTAACCCATTATTTATTTCGTTTATAGTGGTTTCTACTGAAGAGTGAAGACACTATTTTAGCTGGTTTTGCTTTTCATGTGCTTATTGTTAGAACATAATTACAATTTTTTGATGGCCCTCAAACATTTTGAAAATACCCCCATTTTTTAGACCGTGGGGGCCAAAATTGCCCCCAAAATATTTTGTTAATTTCATACCCTGCCTCTATTGGCTGTATCTATGACATCGTAAGGGACACATGGAAGCATGAGGGCAGTGAGGTTTCAACATTTGAAATGGACAAATCTATTTTTGTGCGTCAAAGAAGATGCCGCCATCGTTTGGTTTTGTGAGAAAATACAAAGACGGAACTGTGTAGACGCAGAAGGGCTCCAAACACACTGATTATTGATAGGCTATGAATTGGTTTTGTGTCCCATGAAGAACACATTAATATCAGCTCTAATCCATATTGTCCATAACAGTTTAAATTTCATTTGTTAGTTCACAGATTTCTGTCTCGGCCCTTAAAGTGTCCTCTGGAATATCAACTTTATTAACACTGTATTAATTAATAATAAGCTGCAGAAACATTCCTGATGTTCTTGACCCAAACAATCAGTCACCAGATTACAGCTTCTCCAACTTGGACATCAGCTGGTTTGGACATTTGAAGATGTCTCGTTGGAGATTTCACACAGAGCTGCTACTACAGCTCTTCTTTACATTTTTATACTGAACCAAACAACGGCGGTGATCAACACAGAGCCTACGCCTGTAACCTACGCCGTAGCCTGACGTGCACCTTTGTTTGGAAAATGTGTCCATATAAGACTAGTCTCGCCAGACAATCAGAGATCTCCGCCTTGTGATAGTCTGGGGACACTCCTTTCTAAAGTGTGTTTAACACACCGGAGAAAACGGCCGGCAACAAAGCAACGCCTCTTGCCTTTTTTAAAAAGGACACGCCCTCCCGGAAATGTGCGCTCCCCCTTTTCTCGTCCACAAGGAAACAAACACGCAGAGAGCTTGAAAATGGATGCCGAGAGATTAAACTCTGTTTTATCAAACGTGTGCTCAGTCCACAAGATTGTGGAAATGAAGGACTTACAGCGACTTTGTTTAAAACTTTTAATGCAGTGGGACTATGTTTACGAGCACAAGAGTTCAGCGAACCACCGAAGGACCGCCCTGCAGATTTACTATTGGTTCTGCAACGTAGGGAATTTTTTTAAACTCTGAAATTGTATCCGCCCATCTAAACACAAAATCAGGGAGAAAGACATCAGTCTTTAGTTAAGCAAAGCGTCTAAAGACTGACTTGTGAGTCTAATATAAGACAAGTGTAAAGTTAAAGGCCCTGACACACCAAGCTGACGGTCGGCCATCGACCAAAGTCGGGTCGTCAGTGAGCGTCTGTCGGCCTAGTTTTTGCGGTGTGTCCCGCACCATCGGCACTTTGGCATCGGCAGCTTTTTGGCCGGTTGAGCAAGTTGAATCGGCGGCGGAGCTTGTCGGTGAGAGAGATCACTCTGATTGGCTGTTCAGGTTTTATTTCCTCGCCCCTGTAGCGAGTGAATCTGCCTGTAGTGAAACCGGGGCTAACCGGTGCTTCCTCCTCAGGCTCCACTTCACTCAGCTGCCCCACAGACCCGCTGCTTCTTCACACTTTAACCTGAATAACAAACCGGAGCTAGCTGGGAGCGGCTAGCGGAGCGTTAGCCGCAGCATGACCGGAGGGAAGCACAGCCAGTTAGCCTCCGCTAGTCTCTGAGCTAGCCCCGGCTCTCCGTTTGGATCCAACCGGAGCACCGAGCCCTGGTTTGTTATTCAGGTTAAAGTGGGAAGAAGCAGCGGGTTTATCGGGCAGCTGAGTGAAGTGGAGCCTGCGGAGGAAACACCGGGACCGTCTGGATGTAATAGTCCGTGGAGGTGCTGCGGTGCTCGGCTGCACAGATAGGAAACCCCTCGGCTGACAGGATGTACCACTCTCTCACTCCGCTCTCTCTCACGCAGGCGCAGAACGTACGTGCTACTTGGCCGTTGGATGTAGTCCGTGTAGTGTGTTCAAATGCAACTGACACAGGGCGACGTGAGGCGACGTGAGGCAACTCAACAGTTGGCTTTCATCGCCGCTAGTTTTTTGATGTCGGTTTGATGTGTCAAGGCCTTTACAGCACTTCACAGAAACCCCACTGCTGACCAGTGTTTGAGGCGTAACTGCAGAGTGACACAGACACACCACAGCACAAGTATAAAAGCTCACAACAGCCAAGGCCACGTGCGTAGGCTGCAGCATTAGTTAGTTCTGTGCAGAGCTGATGCACAAGTATAAATCCACCTTGACTCTAGTGGAGCAGCAGAGACGGGGGTAAGATGCAGATGTAGGAAACACCTGGTGTTTGAAGGAGGGTTTCCTCACAGCTTCTACTGCCTTGATTTCCATCATGCAGAAAAACTTTTCGTATAAATTCCACAGAGCCTCATGAATATGAACATGACCTTGTCCCGGTCGTGTTTGTTGAACTTTGACCTCCCTGTGTTTCCCTGGGTACAGTGACGGCTAGTTAGCACACGTTAGCATTTAAGACTCTTAACAATGTATTTAGGACATTTTAATAGCATTTGAGACCTTATTTATATATATTTATATATATTTATTAATTCAATGTCTTTTTAAGGATCTGCACGAGTCTTGTTGATGATTTTTAATTTTCTTTTAAATAATTGTTGAATGATATTTATTGTTCAGATAATGAGCAGATACACATCTGCAGCCCTCACATCAGATGGGTGTAGCTGCCTCCATGAAATGCTAACGCTAGCAGGCTGACTGTGTGTGTGTGTGTGTGTGTGTGTGTGTGTTAATGGGGTGGTGGTGGGGGGGGGAGGAAGCAGCAGCAGCAGAGGAGAAGCCGGGCGGGCTCCAGCTGTCCTGAGCTCCTCTCTGCTCCCTCCAAGCTGCTGCAGCAGCTGTTAGCTTCTCCCAGCACCACCAGTAAACACCACCAGTAACACCAGCACCATACTAACCAGGTTCTCTATCGCCGCCTGCTCCAGAAACTTCTGTGCCGCCTCCAGTTCATTCCGATCTGAGGAGAGAGCGGGGAGAGGAGGGGGAGAGGGGTTATAGCTCATTAGCTGACGGTTAGCAAGAAAGGCTAACGTTAGTACAGAGGTTGTGGTGTGAGCCGTTAACGGGCTGGTTAAACGGGTTCAGCAGCTGTTCCAAACACAAGACACCGAGTAATTACGGTCACAAGCCATTAATGAGTTACATCAGTTTCATTAACACACCCAGTGTGACCGGAGACACACGGCGAGCCTCCAACGTGCGTGTTAGCCACCGTGAAGCCACTGATTCTCGGTTAGCATGCTAACATTAGCCGGGCCACCGGGACACGTTTGAAGTGACAGAGATAAAGTTTTCCGGACAAACAACAAACCGGTTAAAAGAACGTTAACTCCGTTTAAAGATGAGGGAGATTATTAGTGAAACAGCTGAGGGGGACTTTTCCCTCCTCTCAGCGGCTCAAAAGTCACGTTAGCCGGGACAGGCGTGCGAAGAAGCGGCCGATAGTTTGAATGATGTAAGCTAACTGCTGACACATTAGCAGAGAAGCTAACTGAGGCATGGGCAGGGTCTGCGCTCCTCCTCGGCTCCATGCAGCTGTCACACCGGCCTCCATGGAGCCACACTGCCAGCCTGACAGCGTGAGTCACCTGCCGGGCTGCTCAGGTGCACGGCCCGGCAGGTGAATCACACTGTCAGGCTGGAATCAGACGGCGGACAGAGTGCTAAGTCACCAGCTGCATCTGCGGTGACTGAGGCCGTATCGTTAGCCGGGTTAGCATTAGAGCTAACTTAGCAGCCCGCTAACGAGGCATTTCCCTCCTCCCTCCTTCAAACTTTCACCGGCTCACCGGAGCTAACCGCCGCCGCGCTAAGACCGCAGCTACCGGCCCGAAGTAACGTTACAGCCCCGGAGAGCGGCCGTGTTGAGTGTGCTATTCACCTGGAGAGACGGTTTTCTCGAGGATCGTGATGAGCTCCATTCCGTCCCCCGGCTCTCTCTGGCTCTTCACCCGGTCGCTAGCTCAACAGTTTCGGTTGCCGCGCAGCGCCCACAGCGGATTATATTTCTTCCACGGAGCTCGGTCGGTACCGGCCACAGGGCGGGTTCAGTCGGTGATGGAAGAGGCGGGAGTTCCCCGGTGCTCGCTCGGTGTGTTTTCACTCGGATGGTGCGGGAAATGTTAACGGCCGTTAACGTCTCGTAGCTTCACCGCCGCCCGTTCGCATCCTGTGTTGTCGGGAGGGAAAGGGCCGCGCGCTTCTCTCCCGCGGAGGGATATCACGCACTGGTAGCGCGACGTGCTGCCTTCAGGGCCCGTCAGACGTTTTACCGCCGCTCGGTTAGTGCCGAGCAAAAACAAGTCCCTCCCTCCGCGACTGCAGAGGTGGGGCCGAGTCACTGCTCTGCGAGTCACAGGCAAGTCCTTAGTCAAAAAAGGGAAGTCCCGAGTCAAGACTGACAAGTCCAGAGTTAAGTCCCGAGTCAAGACTGACAAGTCCTCAGTCAAAAAAGGAAGTCCTGAGTCAAAACAGTCTTTTTTGATTTTGTCGAGTCTTAAGTTAATATTTTAGTGACTTGAGTTTGACTCAAGTCCCAAGTCATGTGACTCAGGGCCACAACTCTGAAAGAAAGTACTCAGACCTTTCACCACAGTCAAAGTACTGATGCCACGGTGAAGAAATACTCGGTGGGATACTGGGTGGATTCATCTGTGATCACAGCATCATTGATCATAATCTGTAATCAGTAATCTGTAAAGTAACTCAAGCTCTCAGATACATGTAGCACAGGAAGTAAATATTTCCCTCTGAGATGAGAGAAAGAACCATAACATGGAAATACACAGGTAAAGTACCTCAAAAGTGTACTTAAGTACAGTACTCGAGTAAATGTATTTAGTTACTTTCCACCACTGTGACACAGATGAAGGTAAATGTTCACTCAGTGAGAGTCTGCTCAGTAAAATGGAGGAGCTCATTTGACTTTATTAAACACAGGAACCAAATATTTTCAAATGTCTTTAAACTCTTTCAAAATAAAATCACAAACAGTTTTTTGTTTTTTTCAAATGAAGATTAAAAAATTAAAATTTAATTAAAGATGAGAAAAACAAATCAGTGACTTGGAGTTTACGACGAGCACCTGAACGCAGCAGTACACTCCTCACATCGGTTTCCCGCGCGACCCCGTTTGATCCTGTTTTGCGCGTTCCGTCTCGCACGCGCCCGCGTGCACGCTCCCGAATCCAGATTTGATTTTTCTTTCTGCTAAAATGTTTGTTTTTAATTCAGAGAATTAATTAAATTTGATTTTGTGAAAAGTTTCATGATTTAAAGTTGAAACAGATTTCAGATGAAAGATGAGAGCAGCTGGGCAGGTTAAAGGAGCAGTCCGCAGAAAATACTCAACACTTTTAAAGAACTTTATATTTGTAGGTTTCAGAGTATTTCATCTGACAAATACATATTTTTTACAGTTCAAACACGGTAAAAAAATATGCAATCATTTATTGAAATTAAAAACACGTAAAATCTTTGATCTTAAAAACTATTTATTTCAGAATCAGAATCAGAAATACTTTATTGATCCCCGAGGGGAAATTATTTATGTTACAGGTGCTCCTTGCAAGAGAGGAAAGATACGTGAAAATATAAGAAATTTAAACAGTAGTATTAACAAATATATAGTTAAGTAAACAGGAATTATTAACAAACATAAACGTAAATAAATATATACAGTACAGGCCAAAAGTTTGGACACACCTTCTCATTCAATGCGTTTTCTTTATTTTCATGACTATTTACATTGTAGATTCTCACTGAAGGCATCAAAACTATGAATGAACACATGTGGAGTTATGTACTTAACAAAAAAAGGTGAAATAACTGAAAACATGTTTTATATTCTAGTTTCTTCAAAATAGCCACCCTTTGCTCTGATTACTGCTTTGCACACTCTTGGCATTCTCTCCATGAGCTTCAAGAGGTAGTCACCTGAAATGGTTT